GTTAACAACTTAGTGGTCTATTGTTGCCCTATCTATTCCTCAGTAGAAATGAGATGTTATAATGGATAATGCCTTGGGTTTTCCTGGGTCTAGTAATGTCCATAATGTTGTATGGGTCATTAAGAATTAACTAACCAAGTCATCTCATTTTTTCCCCAATAAGATAGATAGATCCCCTTGATAACCTAACTCAGTTGTATATGAAGAAAATTATTAAATTACATTGAGTTTCAAAGGTTATTATTTCTGATCAAGATGGAAGGCTTACTTCTAGCCTATGGAAGAGCATTTAAGAAGGTTTGATGATGAACTTAAATTTCAATACAAATTTTCATCTCCAAATAAATAGATAGTATGAGCAAGTTATTCAAAATTTGGATAATTTGTGCGGCTATATGTTATGATTTTGGAGGAATTTAGGAGAATCATATTTCTTTGATCAAATTTGCATATCATAATAATTTCCAAGCAAGTATAAAAATAACCTCATATAAATATTTGAATGGGAGAAGGTGTAAAACACTAAAGGCCTGGACAAAGGTGGGAGAAAGAAGATTGATGGGATATGAGTTAGTTGACAATGCTATAAAGAAAATTAGGTTGATTAGGAAAAGGTTAAAACCAACTTAAGAAAACTAGAAGAAAAACTATGAATCCAAGCATAGAACTATAAGATTTAAAGTTGGGGATTCTATCTTCATAAAGATTTATCTTGTGAAGGGTATAAATGTGAGACCTCGTTCCCTTACTGTTCCTCTCTAGCTTGGATTTTCCTCCCAGGAATGTTGTAGGCTTTGGTGACCTGCTGGGCTTTGTAAAGCTCATTATATGTGGTTGAAATTTTCAGGTCCGAGCAAGGCAACTGGAATGGAGTTCGATCAGAATGTCAGACGAATCCTTTCACTATGGATGCCTGGGGCGTCACAATAAATAGATTTAAAAGGATATTAAGTTAAGTCCAACGTATATTGGTCCCTTTGAAGTGAGAAAAAGAATTAAAAATCTACTTATACTATTGCCTGATAAAATGTTGGATATTTATAATGTGTTCTTTGTTTTTATGCATAGAAAGTGGATTTCAAATTTAAACCAATGAAATTCTATAAAAAAAAAACCTGGAGTTTGAAATGAAAATAGAAAAAATATCTCTTTAGGAGTGTTGTTCCACTATGCCTTAGAGCATAACGGCACTATTCTGTCTATTTGGAAATGAATTTGAGGGAGTGCTCTAATGATGAGGATGAATAATGTGGCACTGAGCTCTTTTTCTAGGGCTATCATGGTAATCTATAATATTTTGTATGAGCACTACGGTGGTGCATGTTTGAGCACCACAATGTTGATCACTAAATTTTCTTTTAATATATATACTAAAAATCTAAAACCATTACCACTCACCCTCCATATTAGTAGGCTTTCTAGAGAAGAAAGAGGAGAAAGAAAGGAGGAGAAAAATGGAGAGAAAAGAAGGAGAAGGATTCATAGGCCATATTGCGAGATTCATCCATCAAGATAATTAAGGGAATTATCCTACTTGAGGTAGGCTTCTAATGCCCTATTTACAATTTTAATTTTAGTATTTTTTTATGAAAAGTCATGAAGTAAAATGTATTTTTAATGAGTATAACAAACTTTTCACCTTGCAATTTTTTATATACTATAGAATGTCTTATTCTAATCATTTTAATTCTAAGAAATCAATATTTCACTAGTTAGTTTTATTTATACAAATATTTGAATATTTTTATTGAAAAAGGAAATATGGTACTAGCTATAATTCATTAAAAGTCTTAAAAATTGAAAGATCCCTTATGAATAATATTTCAAATGAAAAATGTTCAATGTACAAGAAAATTTTGCATTTATCATCACTTGAAGTGTTATACAATTAATCTTAGCATGTGTACTCATGTTCATGTGCCAGAAGTTCTAATGTGGGATATGTTAAAGTGCACTATAAATTCTTTTACCTGGGCTTGAATTTTTGGAAAATTCTACTTCTAATTGTTTCACCATCTATTTTATGTGGATATGAGAGGTTATTTTTTGCCCCTTCTGCTTTATGTAGGTGTGAGAGGCACAAGGGAGTTATAAGTAAATGTGGAGTTGTAAGGGTAATCGAGTTTGTCACCTTCACCAAGTAAATATGAACATTGGGAGGCATAAGCACTGAAAGTAGAGTTATAAACAAACTTTGAGGTAAGCATATCATGATCCATATGTTACATATTCTATTAAATGAAATGATTCCAAATATAAATAATATTTAGTTGAAAAGTATACTCTAATATTTCAGTGTAAGTACCCTTTGATACTTCTGTTAAAATATAAGCAATGTTTTATTAATAAGTACACACTCTCACCCATATAAAAATACAAGTGAAAGTACATGTTGATGCATATAATATTCAAGTTCAAATAAAAAGTTCTTGAAAGTTTGTTCTGATGCATGTTCAAGTTTAAAACATGCTGATGTTTCCTTTTGTTAATATTAATAAGTAATCCTTTGTTCATGCTTTCTAAAAGTAAAGTCAGTTTCAGTTAATTTACAATCCATATTTAAATCTTAAATTTACACATTATAAAATATGGGTATTGACATTTTGTAATAGGAATTGGGATATATTATTGACATATTATTGCTTACTCTATTTTTTTTTTATAAAATTTTAGAAAATGGAAGGGACAAGCGGAGTAGAAATTGTTAAGAGCAAGACCGTCTGATGCTTGGTATTAAGCTATTTCGCAATCTGTTAAATAATAGAATGACTTTGGAGTATAATTTTTATGTGTGAATTTTTTGGAATTGAATTTTTTGATGATCATTTTTATTATTTATTATGCTTGGATTATTTAGTTGGCACTAGTTTGTTATGTATTGAGGTTTAGATAATTAGGTTAAGAGTATGATTTTTCCATTAGGTTATTTGTCATGACAACTTTAAACTAGAGTTGAACCCATGAAATTTGATATTAATATGGAGGAGAGTTTGAAATATTTGTGGTAGTATGCTAGAAGTTCAAAAAAGGTTAGTTTAAGTTCCAATGAATTAGCATGGAAAATCTCCATTCATCTTAAAAGAAAACCTAAATAAGCATAACAAGTTTACTTTTTAATGCCAATAGAGTCTAAGCTCAAGTTCACTTAAAATTGGCCAGCCCAGTAAATATATATGGCTCATTAATTAGAACCTAGCCTAACCCTAAAAAATAAACTTAACAATTGCTTGATCGGTTAATCATGGATTAGAGTATGATTAGGTGGGTGACTAGCCTATTTTAATGTAATCAAGCAAAACTAATGCAAGTATTATACTTAGATTATTTTTAATTCATGTTAATCATCCACCTAGCCAAGCTCAAATTAATTAGCAGCTGACACGCCCAATTAACTATGGTTTAAGGGTTAGGTTTGGAAGATTTTAAGCTAGGTATTGGAAGCGAGATTCATATTTTCCATCATGGTCTCATCTGAGATCCAAGCATTTCTCTAGAGCTCCTAAATTAAGTTATAAGTGCTGTGACAATATCAAATGAACAAGAAGATTAAAATCTCATTCATGATTTGATCTCTAGCACACTACAAACAAGTTCGATGCAATTTGGAAGAGGAAGCTCACTCAAGATTTCGGAGCAAATTTAGCTCATTATAGCCATTAAGAACTAGTAAATTCTAAATCTTAGGGAAGCCCTTAAGTGTTGTGGTCTAGTGACTAATTAGAGGAAGCCCTAATATCCTTGAAGCAGTGACCAAAGGGATATCCTCATTTGGTTCATTATGAAAGGAGAAATTATTAATTGAATAGTTTAGGTTGGCATCAACATGATGGCACAACCCTCTAGTTCGAGCACATTTAATTAGAAAAGATGATATCTATGCCCTTAATTTTATTTTACACAATCCAATAGCTTGCATTAAACCCTAGCCACTATTATAAAATTTCTTGTGATTTTTTTCTTTAGGCAAATTGCAAGACAAAATTAAATGAAATTAGAACCTAGGAGCATCTAGGAAAAGGCTATCTCAATTTAGAGATGATTCATCAAACTTTTACTGGCAAATCAAAAAGACTTAATATAACATATTGTCATTAGGAATAAAGAATCATTAGTCACATCTAAAACTAATCAAATGAAGATCATTGAACCATTGCATCTTTGATAAAAATTAGAATTGGATGATCACATCTATGCAAATTCTTTGAGATTGATGTTAATCGTAATTTGAATTAAATGATTGAACTTACTCAAATATTGTCATGATTGATGTTAGTGAAATCAGATTTAGTGTTTAGGATAAATAAACATAAATCTTGATATATATAATGGAATGGTTTCGGAAGTAAGGAATCATATTTATATTAAAATCGAACCAAAGGAAGATCATTAAATCATGAAATCTTTGGTAAGAAATATAAAAAAAAAAAAATTAATTCAAAATATTTTCAAATCCTATCAATAACATTTTTATGTTTGTGAACGCACAATTGCTATCCAAAGTTGAAAATCTCATGAAATAAGAAAGATTTTCCTAAGCCAAATGACAACTGGATTTCATCCTTATTATCTAATTTATGATCTTCAACTATTAGAATCTACTATTTAAAATCACCCATAAAATTCAACATCATATTCTAATTAACAATCCAAAATTCGTTGATTAATAGAGATTAAAATAATTAGAGAAGATCAGAAGAAATCCATGGATGGTCCAGCATGCAGACAGAGCTCCACTTCTCATCTCATGTTGAACTTAAGAAGAGCCAGACCTATCAGACTCGGCCAACAAAAGCGTATAGATCGGTCATTGTCACTAGGAAGAATTGTCCCTTACAATGTATTGATTAACAAGTCAAATTATTATACCATTTCTTTAAACCGTTAGGTAAGTCAGGTCACCTCCCACTCCACTGTCACCATTCCCCAAGTCCGTGGGCGGTCGGAGGCGGTTCAAAAGAACGATAAATATACGAGCACAATTCAATTCCCTCCTCCAGAATTCAAGTACCTTTTCCTCCAATCTACTTGTTGGTTTAACATGAAGAGTATAATGACGCGGACGCCCCACGAGTCGTCCGTCTCCTTCTCGCGGCGCCACTTCAACTGGATAATAGCAAGAGTGGAAGGCACCGCCAGCAGCACTGAAGACGAGGAGATTCTCGGCCCGGCTTTCACCGCCTCCGATGCTTACACCGAGCAGCCTCCGCCTCCTCGAACAGCGGTGGCCCGGATCCGGTCTGCGCTGACGGCTGCGTTTTCAGGCCGACCCGCCCGCTTAGTCGTGCTCGGTCCACGGGTCGTCGGCACACTCTACGGCCCGCGGCGTGGCAACGTACGCTTTTCCTTCCAGAGGGATCCTCGAGACAGCCCGGCACTAGTTATCGAGCTAGAGATTAAAACCGGATCTCTTGTGAAGGAGATGGCTTCTGGAATAGTGCGGGTGGCTCTAGAGTGCGAGCGCAAGGATGGGAAGGTGAGGCTGGTGGAAGAGCGGCAATGGCGAGCGTATTGCAACGGGAGGAAGTGCGGGTTGGCGGTGAGGAGGGATTGTGGGGCCGGAGACACGCGCGTGGTACGCGCCGTTGAGCCGGTCACGATGGGTGCCGGAGTGTTGCCGGCGGAGGAGGAGGAGGGGGAGGTGATGTACATGAGGGCGAGGTTCGAGAGGGTGGTGGGGTCCAAGGACTCGGAGGCATTTTATATGATTAATCCTGATGGGAAAGGCGGCGGGGCGGAGCTCAGCATCTATTTTCTCAGAGTTTAATTTAGAGAAAATGCATTCAGTTAATTTTGGTGATTAGTGGGTAATAAGTTTGGGTTTGGGTCTTAATTAATTGCCTTTTGTTTTTCATCTTTAGTTATTGTTGTTGTGAAACTGAGAATTTGGGTTCACGGTGTAAGCTAGGGGAATCATGGATCTGCTCATTGGAAAATTATTAGGTGCGGATATCGGATATAGAGATGCGTTCAGATTATTGGATGCACTGTGTATGCTCTTCTTATATTTTGCTTAGACTCTACATATTTGTAGATACACAGCAAATAGGCAGGAAATTCTCACAACTAAATATTTGTTGCTTATTTACTGCAAATACATAGTATATACGCAGTAAATATGAAGAACGTAGACAGAGCTTAAGCATAAGATACATAGTAATCCGGAATATCCTCTACATCTGGTGTCCGCACTAAATAATTTTCCCTGCCCATGATGGTTATAAGGATTGGAGGAAAAAAAATGTTCTGTAGATGCGGTTATCCGATTTTAGCCATTCAATTTAGTTTGAATGATTAGAACTAAATTCAACAAAATTGAATTAGATTATTAGGACTGGATAGTTATATATGTAAAATTATCCGCCCAAACGTTAAGGATCAGAACACAAAAGAGTCATTTGTGCTCTCTCTCTCTCTCTCTCTCTCTCTCTCTCTATTTGCCTATGTAACGTTTGTTCTACTTTTTGGTTATAGTTTGTATGGATTTGCCCGATGGATTGCACGCGAATGATTGCGTTCTAAGTAAGTTTTATGAATAGGTGAATGAACATGGAAATTGGACTTCAACAAATACCTTGTGAAAGATTGAAATAAAATGCTCGTTTATTGATGATTTAGTATTTGTTGATGAATAATTTTCTTCATTTATTATCAAACAAATTGTTGATATAACATCTATCAATTCCATGTTCTTGGTATAATCTAATTATGATGGCCCGATAGTATGAACAGTTAGTGGATGACTGCGTAGCCATCTTAAAAACTATATTCCAATGCATTAGAAAATACATATTAATAATGAACCTTTAAAATGCATATTTGGAGTTTCTTTAGAAATTTTTTTTTTGTTCATTATTCATCATAGGGAGATCGAGACCGGCCATTTGAAAATCAAAATTATCTTAGAAATGGAATCACACAGAAGTTTAGTGCAGCTAAGATCCATTCAAGAGAAGTTGGATAGAATGGAAAGGTTTTAGCTAACGTCCTTGTTGGACATTTGGGATTAGTCAATTCTTCTTTGAATGAAAATCTACCTAGTGAGTAAATATTAACATTTGAAAATAAAGAATGGAAATTATATTTTGAATTTGCTTCTTCTAGAAAGCTTAACACTTCCAAAAAAATTTCTCAAGTTAAGATGACAATCAAATTGATATTGTACTCTATCTTGAGGAATTATTTGAAATTCCTATGCCTTAATGAATACTCAAGCCAATAATGAGAGAGATTATGATGCCCTCATTATGGGTCTATAGATGGCTATATAGATGGATAATTTGAGATTCAAACCTTCTAGAAATTCTAAATTAATCATTAGTTAAATAGTTGGATCTCTAAACGATTTTTTTCCTACTAGAAACTATTCATAGTATTACTCTCATAAGGATCCTTAAGAGTCTTAATAAACGAAAGTAACTAGGCACAATAAAGACTGGTCGAATTTAAAAGTAGAAAGATGAATATATACAAACTAGATTTATATAGTGGTTCAATCCCCTGATTGGCATATACTCTCCAATTTCTTATTCTTGGAAATTTCACTAAAAGCATTTCTTTTTCACCTAGCAAGGTGGAGAAGCCCTTCTTTGTTCCCAGGAAGAGAATGACCTTTACAAAACTCTTGTCTCCCAAAAAATTGTAAGGCTCCCTTCTTCTTCTACTCAACATAACAAAGATGCCTCCCTCCTTGTGCTTCCTACACGGTGGAGATGCCTCCTTAGCTTCCTTGGCTGGGCTTGATAATGTCTCTCAACAAAGACTCATAAAAGTTTCAAACCCCGGGCTCCTCACACAAAAGTAACCAAGAGGAACAAAGTTCATATTAAATAAACAACAATATGAATTGGATGATTTTAAAAGTATAAAGATGAATAAATATGAACTAGATTTATATAGTGGTTCAGTCCCCTGATTGACTTATATTCTCTAAGTTCTTATTCTTGGAAATTTCACTAAAAGCATTTCTTTTCCACCTAGCAAGGTGGAGAATCACTTCTTTGTTCCTAGGAGGAGAATGACCTTTACACAACTCTTGTCTCCCAAAAAATTTTAAGGCTCCCTCTTTATGCTACTCAACATAATAAAGATGCGACCCTTCTTATGCTTCATACACGGTGGAGATGCCTGCCTAGCTTCCTTGGCTTGGCTTAATAAATCCTGTCAACATAGACTCATAAGAGCTTCAAACCTAAGGCTCCTCACACAAAAATAACCAAGAGGAACAAAGTGCATAACAAATAAACAACAATTTTAATCCCCTCACACACTAGTTGGACACTTCTAAGGTCCTTTCTTTCAGCCTCAAACTCTGCTCTAAGTATTTTTCTCGGGTCACAAAAAATGAATCACCCTCTTCCTCATAATGGACTACTGCAACCTCTTATTGAAAGCCAGTTCCCCTCTCAAAACATAAGACTGGGTATTTAAATAAAAAACCTAATTTTTTTTATTATCACAATAAGATTGTATAATACAAATCCAACATCATGCAATATGATTAGTTCATTCAAAATAAATCTGCAAAATTAAACTCCATTTGATCAGAATGTATGATCATGATCATATAGTAAGATCAATTTAGTTGATATACATTTCATCCAACCTGATCGAGGATCAAAGAAACTTATTTCTTGTTTAATCAAACTGTATGAATCTCTATGTTATTTGATTTGATTTGATATCTAAATTTTTGGATGATTTTAAAAGTAGAAAGATGAATAAATACAAACTAGATTTATATAGTGGTTCAGTCCCCTAATTGACGTCTACTCTCCAAGTTCTTATTCTCAAAAATTTCACTAAAAACATTTCTTTCACACCTAGCAAGATGGAGAAGCCCTTGTTTGTTCCCAGGAGGAGAATGACCTTTACACAACTCTTGTCTTCTCAAAAATTGTAAGGCTCCCTACTTCTGCTACTCAACTTATCATAGATGCCTCCCTCCATATGCTTCCTACACGGTGGAGATGCATCCCTAGCTTCCTTGGCTAGGCTTGATAAAGCCTCTCAACAAAGATTCTTAAGAGCTCCTCACACAAAAATAAGCAAGAGGAATAAAGTGCATAAAAATAAACAATAATGTGAATCCCCTCATAGACTTCTTGGACACCCTTGAGGACCTTTCTCTCAACCTCAACCTCTCCTTCCAAGTATTTTACCAACTTAATAAAAAATGAATCACCCTCTTCCTCACAATTGATGTTTGCAACCTCTTATTGAAAGCCAATGCCTCTATCAAAACATAATACTAGGTATTTAAATGAAAACCCTAATTTTTAGTTATCACAGTTAGATTGTACAATACAAATCTAATATCATGCAATATGATTAGCTCATTCTAAAAAAATTTGCAAAATTAAACTCTAATTGATCGGAATGTATGATCATGACCATATAGTAAGATAAATTTAGATGATATATTGTTCATCTTACCTGATCGAGGATCAAATGAACTAATTTAATATTTATTCAAATTGTATGAATCTCAAGGTTATTTGATTTAATTTGATATCAAAATTTTGGATGATTTAAACGGTAGAAAGATGAATAAATACATACTATATTTATATAGTGAATTAATCCCATGATTGGAGTCTACTTTCCAAGTTCTTATTCATGGAAATTTCACTAAAAGAATTTATTTTCACCTAGCAAGGTGGAGAAGCCCTTCTTTGTTCCCAAGAGGAGAATGACCTTTACACAACTCATGTCTCCGCAAAAATGGTTAGGCTCTCGCCTTCTGCTACTCAACATAATAGAGATGCCTCCCTCCATGTGTTTCCTTCATGATGGAGATGCTTCCCAAACTTCCTTGGCTGGGATTTATGAAGCCTCTCAACAAAGACTCATAAGAGCTTTAAACCCAGGGCTCCTCACACAAAAATAACCAAGAGGAACAAAGTGTATAATAAATAAACACAGTGTGAATTGGATGATTCTAAAAGTAGATAGATGAATAAATATAAACTAAATTTATATAGTGGTTCAATCCCCTAATTGGCATCTATTCTCCAAGTTATTATTCTTGAAAATTTCACTAAAAGCATTTTTTTGCACTTTGCAAGGTGGAGAAACCCTTCTCTGTTCCCAGGAGGAGAATGTCATTTGCATAACTCTTGTCTCCCTAAAGATTATACGGCTCCCTCCTTATGTTACTCAACATAATAGAGATGCCTCACTCCTTATGCTTCCCACACAGTGGAGATGCCTCCCTAGCTTCCTTGGCTAGGCTTGATAAAGGCTCTCAACAAAGGCTCGTAAGAGCTTCAAACCCAGGGTTCCTCTCACATAAATAACCAAGAGGAACAATGTGCATAGTAAATAAACAATAATGTAAATCCCCTCTCACACTCCTTGGACACCTCCAAGGACCTTTATCTTAGCCTCAACCTCTCTTCCCAAGTATTTTCCCAATCTCACAAAAAAAAAAAAAAAAAAAATCACCCTCTTCCTCACAATGGACTTATGCAACCTCTTATTTAAGCTAGTGCCCCTCTCAAAACATAAGACTAGATATTTAAATGAAAACCCTATTTTTTTAATTATCATAATTAGATTGTATAATACAAACCCAACATCATGCATTATGATTACTTTATTCTAAATAAATTTTCAAAATTAAACTATATTTGATCGAAATGTATGATTTTGATCATAAAGTAAGATTAATTTAGCTGATATACAATTCATCCTACCTGATTGATGATCAAAAAAACTTATTTCTTATTTAATCAAACTGTATGAATCTCCAGGTTATTTGATTTGATTTCATATTTAAAATTTTAGATGATTTTAAAAGTAGAAAGATAAATAAATATAATCTAGATTTATATAGTGGTTCAATCCCCTGATTGGTATCTAATATCTAAGTTCTTATTGTTGAAAATTTCACTAAAAGCATTTCTTTTGCACCTAGGAAGGTAGAGAAGACCTTCTTTGTTCCCAGGAGGAGAATGACCTTTACACAACTCTCGTCTCCCCAAAAATTGTACAGCTCCCTCCTTCTACTACTCAACATAATAGAGATGCCTCCCTAGCTTCCTTGGCTAGCCTTGATCAAGCCTCTAAATAAAGACTCATAAGCGGTTCAAACTTAGGGCTCCTTACAAAAAAATAACCAAGAGGAACAAATCGCATAATAAATAAACAACAATGTGAATTGGATTATTTTAAAAGTAGAAAGATGAGTAAATACAAGCTAGATTTATATAGTGGTTCAATCCCCTAATTAACATCAACTCTCCAAGTTCTTATTCTTCAAAATTTCACGAAACACATTTCTTTTGCGCCTACCAAGGTGGAAAAGCCCTTCTTTGTTCCTAGGAGGAGAATTACCTTTACATAACTTTTGTCTCCCCAAAAATTGTAAGGCTCCCTCCTTCTGCTACTCAACATAACAGAGATGCCTCCTTCCACTACAAGAAATTTAGGCATTATCGGCAGCCAGGACCGACAGTTCTATAGTCGTTAGTATTACCGACAGTCTAACCACTGGTAATAACTTGCAGTTTATCTGGTCGTTTGTAATAATACATAGGAGGAATTAGCGGCAGTATAATAACCCCCATCAAGGGTGCCAATTTTTTATTTTACTAGCG